AGTAGTAACAAGAAGCTACTAGATTGGACGCTAGTAGTAACAAGTGCCACGCTACTAGTAACAAGTGCCTTACTAGTACTAACAAGAAGCTACTAGATTGGACGCTAGTAGTAACAAGTGCCACGCTACTAGTAACAAGTGCCTTACTAGTAGTAGCAAGAAGCTACTAGATTGGACGCTAGTAGTAACAAGTGCATCGCTACTAGTAACAAGTGCCTTACTAGTACTAACAAGAAGCTAGTAGAAACAAGTGCCTTACTACTAGGAGCAAGAGCGCTACTAGGAACGGACCACCCCTTGACGCCCTGCCAGGTGACATTCCCATGGGGCGCAAAGTATTCCAACAAATCCTCATCGGTCCAATCATCCGGTAGATGGAAGACGAAGAGGTTGCAGCCTGGAGGGCCAAAGCTCGGCTCCTTCTCTTTGGGCTCAGAACGAGGATTCCGCCGCTTCTTGCCTTTGCCATCTTTGCCTCGGCCATCGCTAGTAGGTAGGTAGGTAGGTTCATGTAGCCCGTAATAGCCCGTAGTAAGGGTAAGTAGGAGACCTTGGAAGCTACTAGGTAGCACTATTCGTGTGGTTCCTAGATGTTGAAGCCTAGTAGCGTCCTTGCTCCTAGCGATGCCAGGAGCCCCTAGTAGCGTCCTTGCTCCTAGTGGCGATGCCCTTTGCTCCTAGTAGCGTCCTTGAATTTGGGAGAAACAAGTGAAACTGTTGCAGAAACGATTCAGGTAGCCATTTCCGCTTGAAACTCGTTAGAACAGTGAAAAACGATCATGGGTGGAGGGTCTGAGAAGAACTGACGGAGTCAACACTCGCAAGGGGCATACCGCATCCAAGTGCAGGTGGTGCAGTTTTTTTGGCAAGTGTATTGAGATGTAGCGAGCATCTTGGGTGTTGACACTTGGGTGTCCCAGAGTTGGCATCTTGTACTTGTTAAGATCAGTTGAAGGCCATCGCTAGTAGGTTGGAGGCCATCGCTAGTACGGAAGCTGTTATAGTAGGCTGCCTACTTAGCTTATGTAGCTGCTGTCGTAAGATCAGTTGCCATCTCCTTTTTCTCCTTTGCCGTGATGGTTCCTGTCCTCTCGTACGTCAACTAGTTTCAAGCAAAAACAACAACGACAAACAAAGCGCCTGTGGGATTTTGCTTTTATTCTTTTTCTTTTTAAACCATAGTAACAAAAAGCTACTAGGGGCTCCTGGCATCGCTACTAGGAGCAGGGACGCTAC